TTAGGCGATTACTTGATAGTCAATTGAAACCTATGGAAGAAAACCAAAGAAAAAATATTTTTCACACTAGATGTTTAATCAATGTCAAGGTGTGCATGATGATCATAGATGGAGGTAGTTGCACCAATGTGGCTAGTGCTAGATTAGTATCAAAGCTAAATTTAGCTACCAAACCACATCCTAGGCCATATAAACTCCAATGGCTTAGTAAGGATGGAGAGGTGCAAGTGAGACAACAAGTTGAAGTGGACATTTCCATTGGAAAATACAATGATAAGGTGCTTTGTGATATTATTCCTATGGAAGTCAGTCATTTACTTTTGGGGAGACCATGACAATTTGATAAAAGGGTTAATCATAACGGGTTCACCAACAAGATTTATTTCATACACCAAGACAAGAAGATTGTGCTCAAACCTTTGAGTCCACAAGAAGTATGTGAGGATAAAAAGAAAATGAACGAAAAACATCTTCAAGAAAAGAGAGAGAAAGAAAGCGTTAGTGAAACACTTGAGAGGAAAAAAAGTGATCAAAAGAAGAGTGAAACACCTGAAGTGAAACAGAGCTATTTAGCCATAAAAAGTGAGTATAATGTTTGTTCTACATTTAATTTGTCAGACTTATCTCTTTTTAATGTAGATGATGAATCCGATTTGAGGACAAATCCTTTTCAAGAGGGAGAGAATGATGTGAACATGACCTATGATAAGGGCTAGAGCAAGGGAAACAAAGGAAGCTCTTCAACAAGTATTGTTGGTTGACCAAATTGTGTTTTGCATTAATCAATTAATGGGCTTTAGTTTGATTTTATTTTAAGTTGTAATAAGGGCCTAATTGAAAATTTAGTCATCAGCCTTTGGAAGACCAAGGAATGCATAGCTGATTGACTTTTGGTTGTCACAGTTTCAGATACAATCAGTTATTAAGTAGTTTCAATTCCTAGGTTAATGAATCATTATTAACCTTTATTTGTTTCCATTAAATAGTTTTCAATTCCAAGATTAATGGGTTATTATTAGTATTTATTTTCTTTTATTGAGTCTTTTGTAATTTTGATGGCAACGCTTCTATATTAGCTGAACCAGTCTTATCAAGAAATAACAAGTGAAATTTTATTCAGAAATATTAGAGTTTATCTCTTTTATCTTAGTGAGAGTGATTCTCCTAAATTCTTGAGTGATTCAAGAACCCTTGGCTGTATCAAAGGACTGTCACATCCTTTGTGTGTTGCCTCCCTTGGGAAGAGTGATTCTTTCCTTCCACCTTCTTTCTAATTCCTAAATTTCTTACAATGTTTTAACCCTAAAGATCCTAAATTACCCCTTGTAATTCATATCAAATGCGCTCTCACATCTAACATAAATATATAATTATATAAATATATCAAAATATATAAATATATAAATATATTTGTATTTATATATTTTATATCTATATATTTACACAGGTATACATTTATTTGTATATAAATATAATTTATTTATAAATTTTTATTAGAAAATCTTAGTATTCTAGTTGTTGGAGAATAAGCTTCTAACTTTAAGGTATTAGGTTTAAATCTTGTCAGTGACAATTCTTTTAATTTTTTTCAAATCCGTCGTTAATATTTACTGACAACATAATTTTCGACGAATTTTCTTAGTTACCAACGAATTTTGTCCTTCGAAAAATCCATTTTTTTTATAGTGACAAAGGAACAGACAAACCAAAACTAGAAAAAATAAAAAGACAAGTTTCTATTGCTAGTCATAACCGAATGACCACATAGACGAGCTGTTAAGCATTCTGTAGACTCCCCTACTCAAAATGCTCAATGTTGCACCAATTCAAAGAATACTAGATGACACACATGTTTTCAATTTACCAACATTAAAGAAGTTTGACTGCTCGAATGAAACTGTTAAGCTTTTTTCCAAGATTATCAGTTTGAAAATTGAAAAGCCTATGTCGTCATAGCTAGATATTTTCAACTGTTAAAGGGAAACAACTTAAAAATCATGCTTTAGTAGGACAATTGACAGACATAGAGTAATTTTGGAATCAGTATCTACACAAAACTAGAGTAGAGTAAGGGTTTGCAAATGAATGGATGAGTAAGAAGCCAATGAATGCTTTGTTATAATCTAAATAAACTCATCAATAGAAAAATACAAACAAAAGCATCCAAGAGCAGTAGTTAGTCCTATTCATGTCTTATGTATGAAAAAACTCCATTCATTTTTGTTGTGATTTAAAAAAAAATACAAACAAAAACAAAACCTTACCTTATTTAGCCCAATTATAGACCAAAGTTTCAGAAATTTAAAAATCAACTTGATTAATTCATTTGAAACAAACTTGATTAATGCAGTAGAACAAAGACCAGTCACACAATGAGTCAAAAACTAACAAAAGTTTTAAATTGTTTTGATTGTAAACAAACACCAATAAAAGTCTCTTTCTACTAAGTGAAGTCAATCACCTATCAACAAATAACTCCAATTGTACCCAAATAAAAAAATTAGAAAATTAAATACCTCAGGCAAAGATACCTACACGACGAAGATAAAATTGACAAAAAAGAAGAATGTCTCATTGGCTTTCTTGTGTTATCATTTAGATGGTCTACAATCAATCCAAACACCACTACAAAAAAAAAGCCAATTACCTACGGAATATTACCTACGGATACAAATCCGTAGGTAAATTTTACATTACCTACGGATATTACCCACGGATAAAAATCCGTAGGTAAATTTTACATTACCTACGGATATTACCCAAGGATGAAAATCCGTAGGTAAATTGTACATTACCTACGGATATTACCTACGGAATTCTATCTGTAGGTAATTATCCATTACCTACGGATATTACCTACGGATATTACCCACGGATGAAAATCCGTAGGTAAATTGTACATTACCTACGGATATTACCTACGGAATTCTATCCGTAGGTAATTATCCATTACCTACGGATATTATCTGTAGGTAATGTAATCCGTGGATAATTCCGTAGATAATTACCTACGTAATTACTATCCGTAGGTAAAGTGTACATTACCTACGGATATTACCTACGAAATTCTATCCGTGAGTAATTATCCATTACCTACGGATATTTTCCGTAGGTAATATCATCCGTGGGTAATTCCGTAGGTAATTACCTACTGAATTACTATCCGTAGATAAATTATATTAAACTAAAAAAATTGTCACTAGCAAGAATCGAACCCAAGCACCTTAAAATTGAAAATCGATACTTCAACCACTAAACTATTAGGATATTCTAATAATTATTTACAACTAAATTATACTTATATTAATTCGTGTAAATATATAAATATATAAATATAAAATATATAAAATATATAAATATATAAATATGTAAATATAAAATATATAAATATAAAATATAAAATATATAAATATATAAATATATAAATATATAAATATATAAATATATAAATATATAAATATCTAAATATATAAATATCTAAATATCTAAATATATAAATATATAAATATCTAAATATCTAAATATCTAAATATATAAATATATAAATATATAAATATATAAATATATTTATAAATAAATATATAAATATATAAATATATTTATAAATAAATATATAAATATATAAATATATAAATATATAAATATATAAATATATAAATATATAAATATATAAATATATAAATATATAAATATATATATATATATATATATATATATATATATATATATATAAATATATAAATATATAAATATATAAATATATAAATATATAAATATACAAATATATAAATATATAAATATACAAATATACAAATATACAAATATACAAATATACAAATATACAAATAAATAAATACATAAATACATAAATACATAAATACATAAATACATAAATATATAAATACATAAATATTTAAATATATAAATATATAAATATTTAAACATATAAATATATAAATATTTAAATATTTAAATATTTAAATATTTAAATATATAAATATATAAATACATAAATATATAAATACATAAATACATAAATACATAAATACATAAATATATAAATACATAAATACATAAATATATAAATAGATAAATAGATAAATATATAAATATATAAATATATAAATACATAAATATATAAATATAAATATATAAATATATAAATACAAATATATAAATGTATAAATATATAAATATATAAATACATAAATATATCAAAATATAAATATATTTTATATTTATATATATTTTATATTTATATATATTTTATATTTATATATATTTTATATTTATATATATTTTATATTTATATATATTTTATATTTATATATATTTTATATTTATATATATTTTATATTTAAATATTTTATATTTATATATATTTTTTATATTTATATATATTTTATATTTATATATATTTTATATTTATATATATTTTATATTTATATATTTTATATTTATATATTTTATATTTATATATTTTATATTTATATATTTTATATTTATATATTTTATATTTATATATTTTATATTTATATATTTACACGGATAAATATAAATATAATTTATTTGTAAATTATTTTCAAAATAACCTAATAGCTTAGTGGTTGGAGTATCAGCCTCCAACTCGAGGTACTCGGGTTCGAATCCTGCCAATGACAATTCCCTTAATCTAATAATAATTCAAAGTTTCAAAAATATAATAAATAATAAAAATATAATATAAAGGGGAGGGGGTTCTAGGTAATAATAAAAAAATAAGGGAGGGGGTTGTAATAAATAAAAATATTTTGTTAAGGTAAATGCATTACCTACGGATTATAATCCGTAGGTAATGTCAGCGAGTGCATTACCTACGGATTTTCTACGGAAAGAAATCCATAGGTAAAGTGACATTACCTACGGATTTTTGTCATTACCTACGGATTTTACCCGTAGATAATAAGCGTTTTTTTTGTAGTGCACAATGATATAAATTTAAACAAAGATCATGTAAAAGCCTAACCATTTCCAGCACAAGGAGAGAGTCGATAAGACACAAATGCGAGCTATATGGTCAGATGTCCTCTGTTCGGATTACAGGTCGTGAAGTTTTGGGATGAGATTTGAAGTCATCGGGTTAGGATTCAAGTTTGTTAGGGTTAGGATTTGAGCTCACTGAGGCTTAGGTTAGGGTTTGATGTCGCCACAGTTTCAGGCCGCTTGAATTCAAGGCTGTCGAGGTTGGGGTTAGGGTTGGGGTTTGAGATCGTTGGGATTGGGTCGAGGTTAGGGTTCGAGGTCACTAGGTGATATGAATCACAAGGGGTGATTTAGGATTTTTAAGGATAGAACCTTATAGGAAATTTAGGAATTTAGTTATAAGGTGGAAGGAAAGAATCACTCTTTCCAAAGAAGGCAACTCACAAAAGATGTGAAAGTCATTTGATACAGACCAAATATTCTTGAATCACTCAAGAACTTAGGAGAATCACTCTCACTAAGATAAAATAGATAAACTCTAATATTTCTAAAAATAAAACTCAACTTGTTATTTATGATAAAAATGATTTAACTTATAAAGAAACTTTGTCATTAGAGTTACAAATATTCATTAAAGGAAAATAAATGTTAATAATGATTTATTAATCTAGGAACTAAAAACTACTTAATGATTGATTGTAACTAAAATTGTAACATCCAAAAGTCAATCAGCTTATACATCGTCTTGGTCTCCCAAAGACTCGATAACTAAATTTCCAATTGGGCCCTTATTACAACTTGCAATAAAACCAAACTAAAGTCCATTAATTGATTAATCCAAAACACAATTTGGTCAACCAACATTGTTAAAGAACTTCTTTGCTTCCCTTTTAGCCCTTGTCATAGATCATGTTAACATCACTAGGGGTTGAGCTAGGGTTCGAGGTCACTGGGGGTCACTACAACAAAAACTAACTAAAATAGTGACCGAAATAGTAACCAACTCAAATCGGTCACTCTTCCCTTGGTCGCTGATTTCAGTGATCGAATCAGTGACTGATTCAATGACTAAATTAGTGACCGAATTAGTCACCAAATCAGTGGCCGAATCAGTGATCGATTCAGTGATCGAATAAGTGACTGAGTCAATGACCGATTCAGTGACCAATCAAATCATTCACTATATCGGTCACTAATTTTTTTATTTTTAAAATAACGATAAACCTGATTAAGGATATGAAATACATTATATATTGTATTAAATATATCAAAATTACACTACCCGAGATAACCATCAAAATAATACCACAAATTTTGTTCTACATAAATTCATCATTGATAGATTAAATATTTTCTTACATATTGAAAATTCAATCTAAAAATAAGTAGAATAAACTAAAGTAAGAGTCAATTCTGGAGATGTCAGAAACTAACAAAACAAATACAATATATAGAATAGAAGTATCAGTTCAGAATTCAGGAAGTTGAACATCCATCTTCTCCATCAAGAGGAGCAACATTTTATAATTTTTTTGAATTTGTCTCTCATTGGTTAACGGAGATCATCCCCTTCAGTCTCAACTTCCTGTAACTTGTGTTTTAATCGTTTAATCTCCTCTCTGATAAGCTGGACAGATGATGAAAAGCCAAAAGACCTATATTTTCTCTGTAGGGAAACCAATAAAAACTCATCACCAACAAGAAAGTTATGTTTCCTAATAAGGTAAAAGTACATAAAAACCAGAATTTCAATCTTACAAGGACACAAAGGATCCATTGACTGTTCCAAACAATCCTGATAACAAAATGCCAACTCCCTGACTGCATAAATGAGATACATGAGGAATTATAATCCAGTGTTCTACTTAATTGCTTGGTGAAAAAAATCATTATAATCACTAATGATCTTTTGCCCTATTATTTATAAGTGTGCAATTTTTTCCACAAATACTTAAATGTTCAAGTAAAAGTCATTTTGTACCTAGCAGATTCCTACCAATTACTAATTAAAAAATACAATGTCTCAAGGATCCAGTTGAATTTGACTTGAGAAATATCAATATGCTTATGCTATAAGATCCGAAATAGTCATAAATATTAAAAAAGAATTAAGTAAGAATGATATGCAATATATGCAGTTCAGTGTATCATCTAAAAGACATCTCCTCACCTAGTCAAAATAATAAACTAAAATCGAAATAGCAAAAATATATCTCAAAATGGAGAAACATATTAAATATAATTTAGCCTCATTTTATAATGAACACACAAAATATAATTTTACCAAGCTTTAAATCAGTAAAGTTTTTAATTGGGACCTATCACTATCAGTCGCCAATACTTTAATGTTTAGTCCTTTTTACCAAAGTGGATTAGAAGGTGGCCAAAAAATCCATCCCTGACACACTAAAATTCAATGAAATCACACAACTAACCAAGGAGCAACATCTTTAAGTCCAACACGATCAGTGCGACATCTATAACAAAAATGTTATCCATAGAGCATTGTAAATTTGTAGCAGAAGACTTACCTCAGGGAACCCTAACTCATACAGTCCAAAACCAACAAGAGATACCAGAGGAACTGATGAAAGTGGACTTAAGAACCTGAAAAAACAAGAAGTATGACCTCTGCTGCATCAGAATGACCCCAAATTTTTTGTCAAAATAAAGAAGAAAAACAAAAGTAAAGTAAACCTCAACTAAGGGGAGTCAGGAAGATTCTTAAAGTCTTTTTAAAAGCTATTAATGGGAGAAGGGGTAGTAGGCGAACCAAAAGAAAAAGTATTCGAAGACGTTGAGCTGGATTTGGGAGGGAGAAGGGGAGGGCTTGAAAAGGGAGGGGCAGAGATCGGAGAGGGGGCAAGAATCAACAACATTATTTTCGTTGAGGAGGAGGGAGCAGGTCCAGTGAGGGAGGTGTTTGGTGGGGAAAACGTATTTGACGAGGGAGAGGCGGTCAATGGCGACGATGGTAGCGGCGAGGGTGCCGGCAGGGGAGAGGAGGGAGAAGAGGGTTTGAGCGAGGTCGTCGGAGTGGCGGTGGTGGATCCAAGCATTGGCAAAGGCGGGGTCGTTGAAGCCGAAGAGCTTGGAGATTAGGGTAGGGAAGGCGAGGGAGAAGAAGTGGCGGGATTGGTTGGGTGAGTGAGAGTGTAGGAAGGAGTCGATGGAGGCGCACGCAGATGCGATTTGGGAAGGGTTGTTCGCAGATGGTATGACAGAGGATAGTTCCTGGGATTTGGAGAAGGAATCAAAGGTGTAGGAGGAGGAGAGAGAGGGCATGGCACGTTTAGGGTTTTGGTTGCAGAGGAAAATGAAATAACGGGTTGGGTTTTTGAAGGTGTGTCTAGTGTTGGTGGCAGTGTGGTCGAAAAGGTTTTTTTTTTAATTATATATTATTTTGTATTTATTATTTATTATTCTGGAAAAGTAAAAGAGACTATTTTTATATTTTTTTCATTTTAATTTTTCAAAAAGAGTAAAATATTAAAAAAAATGAAATTTTTTGTTTTATCTTTTAAATCTTTTTTTATTATTTTTTTCATATTTTCTAATATTAATTTTTTCATGAAATTAATTTTAATTAAAATAATTAAGTGATATATATACATTTATTTTTTTTAATTTATTAATATTATCAAATTTTAGCTTAATAATTAAATTTTATATTTTTATTTGAAATTATTTATGTTTAATTAAAAAAATTATCAATAATTTAAATTTTATTAATTCTATAATTTTATATGATTATTATTATAAATTTAATTTTCCAATAACTAATAATATTAACACATTTATTAAATTGAATTTCTTTACTTTAATTAATTATTTTAAATTTTTTTAACGGTTTTTTTTTCAAATAAATACTGTTAAGCCTAACATGTATTTAAATCATACAAAATGACATGAGGTAGGCGATGTGAGACTTTCAACACACCCTCCAACATGAGGTAGGCGATGTGAGACTTTCAACACATCATCTCCAACGATTAAATCATACAAAATGACATGAGGTAGGCGATGTGAGACTTTCAACACACCCTCTCCAACGATTAAATCATACAAAATGACATGAGGTAGGCGATGTGAGACTTTCAACACACCCCCTCCAACATGAGGTAGGCGATGTGAGACTTTCAACACACCCTCTCCAACGAAGCCTGCCGGACCAGGCAAATGGTACTTTTGACCCAACTAACGGGCAACTTTTGGCCCATGACAATAACCGAAAAGATGTTAGGCTTTGGCTCTGATACCATGTTAAGGTTCCAACATAGAATCAATTGGCAATATGTGGATTAGCCTAACATATATTTAAATCATACCAAATGACATGAGGTAGGCGATGTGGGACTTTCAACAAATACGATAAAACTTAAAATTAATTTCTAATTGAAAATATAGTTAATAGTATATTATATTATTATGTTTAATTAAATTTTAAAATTTTAAAATAAGTTTATTTAATTTTTACACTTTTATATAAAAATGACTAATATAAACTTAAAATAATTTATCCAACTATTAAATTATCCAAGATATTAATATAAATTTAAAATATCAATTCAGTAATTAAAATAATTTTAATTTTGTTATAAATACATTAAAATACATTTTTATTAAGCATACAAATAATTTATATATATATATATATATATATATATAAGAGATTAAATTAATAATTAATTTAATGATTGATTTAGTAACTGATTCAGTGACCGATTCAGTGATTGAATCGATGACCGATTCGAGTGATTGAATCGATGACCGATTCGATGATTGAATCAGTGACCGATTTGGTGACTAATTTAATAATTAATTTTAACTTTTTTATTCACATGCTAAATTAAAAAATTAAATCAAATAATTATATTACTAAATTATTTAATAAGTTAGTAAATTATTTTTTTAATTTTTATAATGTTATTAATTATTTTAAGTTATTAAGTAGATTTATATTTAATATATTATTAAAATATTTAAAAAAATATTTTATATAAATGAAAAATAGTCATAAATTTAGAGATTATTTGTTTTGTGATTGAAATTTTAGTCACTAAATCAGTCACTAAATATAAAAAAATCGATTCATCGATTCGATTACTATTAGTAATCGAATATTTCTGATTACTATTAACCATTTTTCTAGTAATGGGTTGAGCTACGGTTCGAGGTCACCGGAGTTGGATTTGGGTTTGGCTTGAGATTGGGGTTCGATGATGCTGGAGTTAGGTTTGGGCCTTCGGTTCATCGACCTTCAGGCTGCGGTTGATGTTCGAATTCGCTTGGGGATGGAGAGGTGAAGAAATTTTGGAAATTTCGGACACGAGCGAAGAGGCTGGGGTTAAGCTTGAACAAGTGTTGCACGAAGAAGATGAAGAAATTTTGGAAGCTCGATGTCAGATCGTCACGAGCATGAAGAAGATGAAAATTTTAGAGTAAGAGGTAACGCGAAGAGATGAAAAATTCGGAGGGTAATACTTGAAATAATTACATAAATTAAAATAAGATTAATTAAAAAAACAAAATAAAATAATAAAGTGATCGAAATAGTAACCGATTTTATGTGACCAAAAATTCGGTTACTATTTCAGATTACTAAACTCAAAAATAATAATTTGATTACTAATTTAGTCACCGATAGTAACTAAATTTTTCGATCATCGGTTTTGGTTCCTATTTGACATTTTTCTAGTAGTGAAATATACTCTTGAACTTCAAGAAGACAGTGGTTTAATTGGTTCTAAACTTGTTAAAAATCCTTTTTATCCTTCTATAAAACTTCAAGTCAACCATGGCCAACCTCTTCTTGATGTTGCTGGTTATAGGTGGTTAGTTGACAAACTTTTGTATCTCACCATTACTAGGCCAGACATTGCCTATTCTATAGAGCAATTAAGTCAATTTATGTCCAAACCGCTTGATACACATCAAAGAGATATTCCCTGTGTTCTTCGTTACATTAAAGGATCACTTGCTCAAGGTTTATTTTTCTCCTCTTCTTCTAATATTAGCTTGTCAGCCTTTGCTGATTTAGATTATGTCTGCTGCTTGGACACCCACAAATCTATTATTGGTTTTTGTGCCTTCTTTGGTACATCCTTGATGTCTTGGAAATCAAAGAAGCAAACTACTCATTATCTCAAGCTGAATATAGGGTTTTGGTTAGTCTCACTTGTGAAATCCAATGTTGCAATATTTTCTTAGAGATCTTCATGTTTTGTTGGCTCCACTGCTGTATTTTGTGACAACCAATCTGTTATACACTCAACAGATACACTCAACCCATAATCTGATACTCCATGAATAGACGAAACATATCTAGATTGATTGTCACTTGATTCTTGAGAAAATTCAACAAGAACTAATTCACTTATTTCGTGTTTCTTCCTCTGCTCACCCTAGCATATGCTTTTACCAAACCAATTCATCACGTGACCTCCCCCCACCAACATGAGGTTAGATTTTACCAAATATTTTTCTTTTGCATGGTTTGTTGTTAAAATAACTTTTCAGTTTCGTTCATTTGAGTTGCCAAACAATTGTATTGCAAAACTCCTTTTAGCTTTTTTTTTTTTTTTTTTTTTTTACATAACTTATAATACGAGAATTCTTTCCGAACCTTAATATAATATAATATAATATCAACGAGTTAACTTAAACTATAAACTAAACAAATCTCAAAATTTGTATCTTAACTTAATTCAACTGTGAATTCTTTTACTTTTCTTTTTGTTTAAATATTCGTTGACCTTATTGAAATTGAGAATCATCTGCACAGTAGTGTTATAGATTTTCATTTGCATAATAAGTTAGAAGTAACTTAGAGTTTGAAAGGGACAAAAATACAGCAATATTGTTTGAAATGAAATATTGAAAAATAAAAATAAGAATCTGAGACGTTCTTAAACAATCTATACAGCGAATAAAAAATATTCTAGATGAGCCATGCAGCAGTGTACCTTCATATCTTGTTGAATTGTTAATATATTATAATATGAAGTTCCATGGAGTAATAATGTAAGCCAATCATGCATCAGTACATGCAAGTGAGTTCTTGATCGTGCATCCAAGTCACATCCTACTTCCTATATTTGTTAGGACAAAACGTTGAAAATTCCCAGCCGATGATATATGCTACATAAAAATCTCTTCATGAGAAAACGAGATACGACGTGACGGACACTTGACAGGAAAATAAGAAAGGAAATAAAAAAGAAAGATGCAAAAAATCTTAAAAGCTGTATGCTATATAAGGTGGGTATGATCTATTCCTTCTCTTTGTAAACTCGGTCTGGTTTCAACAACAAAAGACATGAAAATGACTTATATCCATCATACCTTCTTTCTGGCTTTTATGCTTGTCGCATCCCTGTTGGTCCCTAATAGTTTTGCTACCAGCAGCGAGGGTGACTATGGTCCCAAAGAGCATGATTTGACCCAGAAATCCCAAGAAGCAAAACTTTTATCAACCAAAATAGCGATTCAAGGCATTGTTTACTGCAAATCTGCCTAAACTCATCCCACTTGAAGGTTATTATTTTGAAAACTGTGTTATATACTGAGTAACTAACTATTGGATGTTACTTACTTTGTTTCATATATATTCATAGGGGCCTTGACAAGGGTAACATGTGAAGCTGTTGATGAACATGGGTTTGAAACGACACCGTTTTCTTTCTTAAGTGTGGAAACTGACTCGAAGGGCTATTTCCTTGCAACGTTGAACCCACGGGAGGTCGCAGAAAAACATGTGTTGAAGGAGTGTAGGGCTTTCCTTGATGCCTCTCCTCTGAACAATTGCACTTATGCAACAGACGTTAACAAAGGGACCAGTGGTGCTTTGCTCCACTCTCCTCGATTCCTCCATGACAAGAAGATGAAATTATACACTGTTGGGCCTTTTCTATTCACTTCATCACCAACACCAATCTCTGATGGATATTGATGAAAACCTTGTCATGACTCCTTAATGTGATGTTGATCCAGTTACAGTTTTAGCATCAAATATTAATGGACGGAAGCATAAAAAAGAGTTCATTGGTGTTCAAATCTTCTTCTTTGTCCTGTAAACTCCGAGGTGCATTGAAAATTTTCATCCTCAGGTATTATGATTTGTGAGACTAAAAAATCTTAATTTTTAATGATGATTAAAATATTTTGAGTTTAACTGAATATTTATATATGTATATATTTTTTTAAATTCTAAATATTTTCACATTACGTTTTAGTAAAATTTTCCGCAATAAATTTTAATTATTAACTATATTGAATTATATAATTAGCGTGAGTTTTTATTTCTTATAATAAACTAAATATATCTTTGAGTGAAAAATCTAAATAAAAAGCATTTCATGACAAATAATATATATCACTACAAGAAAAAAACATTTTAGTGACCGAAAATATCGGTCGCTAATGTCAAAAAATCGGTCGCTAATCGGTTAACGACCGAAATACGTCGTCGTAAAAAGTCAAGTCGCTAATGTGTTAGCGACCGATTTTCATTTCGATCGTAAAATAGCGATCGATTTTATTTCGAGTTGCAAAATAGCAACCGAAATTAATATATCAAATTGGTCGCTAAATCAATAACAAAGTTAAAAAAATAGCGACCGATTTAAATCGGTCGCTAAATCAATAACAAAATTAATTATTTTTATTTATTTACATTTTTAATTATATTTATTATTTATTTCCCCTACCTCTTTTCTGTTCACTTCATCACCAACACCAATCTCTGATGTATATTGATGAAAACCTTGTCATGACTCCTTAATGTGATGTTGATCCAGTTACAGTTTTAGCATCAAATATTAATGGACGGAAGCATAAAAAAGAGTTCATTGGTGTTCAAATCTTCTTGTTTGTCCTGTAAACTCCGAGGTGCATTGAAAATTTTCATCCTCAGGTATTATGATTTGTGAGACTAAAAAATCTTAATTTTTAATGATGATTAAAATATTTTGAGTTTAACTGAATATTTATATATGTATATATTTTTTTAAATTCTAAATATTTTCACATTACGTTTTAGTAAAATTTTCCGCAATAAATTTTAATTATTAACTATATTGAATTATATAATTAGCGTGAGTTTTTATTTCTTATAATAAACTAAATATATCTTTGAGTGAAAAATCTAAATAAAAAGCATTTCATGACAAACAATATATATCACTACAAGAAAAAACATTTTAGCGACCGAAAAAATCGGTCGCTAATGTCAAAAAATCGGTCGCTAATCGAGTTAGCGACCGAAATGCGTCGTCGCAAAAAGGCAAGTCGCTAATGTGTTAGCGACCGATTTTATTTCAATCGCTAAATCAATGAAAAAGTTAAAAAATTAACGATCAATTTGAATCCCAGGTACCTTAAAGTTGGAGGTCGAAACTCCAACCACTCGAGCTACTAGGATTTTTTAATAATAATTTACAAATAAATTATATTTATATACAAATAAATGTATATCCGTATAAATATATAAATATAAAATCTATAAATAAAAATATATTTATATATTTTAATATATATTTAAATATTAATACATTGATATATTTATATATTAATATATTTATATATTTATATCTTTATATTTTTATATATATTTATATATATTTATATCTTTATATTTTTACATATATTTATATCTTTCCATATTTATATATTTATATATAAAGATATTAGTTTTGTATACAAATAATATTATAATATAGTATATTATACTATTAGTATAGTATACAAATTATATATTAGTATAGTATAGTATACAAATTATTAGTTTTGTAATTTATACACTATAAAAATAAATTACAAATATTATAACATAATGGTATATTAATATAATATAATATATTTGTATTCTAATTTTTAATTAAACTAAAATTACGCTAATAATGTATAATAATATATGAGGGGATAATATTGATATATTGATATATATATATATATATATATATATATATATATATATATATATATATTTATATAATGATATATTTATATATTAATATATTTATATATTTATATATTTATATTTTGATATATATATATATATATATATATATATTTATATATTTATTTATACCCTTATACATTTATATCTTTATATATTTGAAAAAAAAATAAAAATTTAAATATTAAATTTTAAAAATAATATTATATTTTTAAAAATAAATATTAGAAAAAGATTTAAAAATATATATAAATTATATTTACATGTACAAAATATTAAAGATATATATTTATATCTTTACATATTTATATCTTTATATCTTTATATTTTATATCTTTATATCTTTACATATATTTTTATCTTTATATCTTTATATTTTTACATATATTTATATCTTTATATCTTTATATATTTACATCTTTATATATATATATATATATATATATATATATATATATATATATTATATATTTATAAAATCTATAGATACAAATATATTTATATATTTTAATATATATATAAATATTGATATATTGAAATATTGAAATATTGATATATTTATATATTGATATATTTATATATTTACATATTTATATATTTATATATATTTATATAGTAATATACCATTATATTATTTTCATTGTATAATAATTTTTAAAAAATTTAATGATAATTTTTTTAACTTATATATTACAAAATATTTTTTAATACTTTAATAAATATAACTTTTTTTAAATATTTTCATTAATTTAAAGTATAACTTTTAATATTTTTTAGTATTTTTTTAAATGTAGATATCTTTAATATTTTGGACATATAAATATAATTTATACATGTTTTTAAACATTTTTCTAATATTTGTTTTTAAAAATATAGCATCATTTTAAAATTTTTATAGATTTATTTCCAATCTATAATTTGAGTTTTTAAAAATGTTTATTTTCAATCTATAATTTGACAGAAATCACATAGAAATGTATTATATGTTATATTATAGAAATGAAATTAAGTTATACTTTGGAGAATATATATATATATATATATATATATATATATATATATATATATTAAAATATAATTTATTTTTAAGTTGATAAATTTTATTTTTATTTATGTAAATTTTATATATAAAATTAATTTAGAGTTCATATATGTAATTTTAATTTATGTAATATATATATATATATATATATATATATATATATATATATAATTTATATAATATATATAATTTATTTAACATTAATTTTATAGTTATAATTTTTTTAAAGTTATAATTATAAATAAGATTTTTTTAATTATATAATTATTTATAATACTTTTTTATAAAAATTATTTAATTATAGTAAATATTTTATGTATAATTATTTAAATATGGTTATAATTATTTATTAAAAGTATAATTACTTTTAATTATTATAAATCATAACTATAATTAAAAGTATAATTAAAAGTATAATTTTTTCAAATAATTTTTTATAATCGATTAATTTTTTCAAATTGGATAATTTTTTCAAATAATTAATTATAATCGATTAGTTTTCTGAATAATTGATTAGAATTGATTAGTTTTTCAAATAATAGATTATAATTGATTAATTTCTCAAATATATATAAAAAATTATAAATAAAAATATAAATTATTTAAGAATATTAATTATTGTAAACATAAAGTAGAAGATGGGAGGAGATGATGATGATAATATAATGATGGAATTGACAAAAATGCAGAATTGAGAAGTTAAAAAAAGAAAAATTGAAGAAAATAGAGATTTAATTATACTTTTAATAAATTTAAGATAATACTAGTTTTGATTTTTATTTTTAAATATTTATTTTAATTTTTTAAAACAGAGAAACTATAATTTTAGTTTCTAAATACTAAATTTAAAGAATTAAATTTATTATTATTTAATCTTTTAATTTTAGTATTAAAAATTTAAATTATATTTTATTAAATTAAAATAATTACAATATATTTTTCTACTTTGAGAATGAAAAATATAATTAAACTAAAACTGAAAATATTATAATACATTTTTGAACTCTTTTTGATTAATTTTTTTCCTAATTTTTTATAAAGTCAATTTTAATATTTAAAAGTATTTAACATTTTGATTTCTGAAACGTTTTCTGTATTACCAAATTTAAAAACATAATATTCAAAAAAATAGTTAATGTAAGTTTTGATGATGATCGATTAAATTTTTAAATGATCGATCATATTTGAAACTATATAATAGCGGTTCCACGTTAACCGCTATCTAAACTATATTTTAGATAGCGGTTAAGGTTTAACCGCTATTAGATGTTCTGTTTTAAGAGTGATTCCAGTGGAACCGTTATCATATACAACCATTATGATCGATTAAATTTTCAAATAACCGATCATATTGGATAATTTTTTCAAATAATTAATTATAATCGATTAGTTTTCTAAATAATTGATTAGAATTGATTAATTTTTCAAATAATAGATTATAATTGATTAATTTCTCAAATACACTACTAGAAAAATGTCAAATAGTAACTGAAATCAGTGACCGAAAAATTTAGTTACTATCGGTGACCGAATCGAGTAACCAAATTATTATTTTTTAGTCTAGTAATCGAAATAGTAACCGAATTTTCGGTCACAAAAAATCGGTTACTATTTCAGTCACTTTATTATTTAATTTATTTTTTTAATTAATGTATATTTAATTTATGTAATTATTTACTACAAAAATGGTTAATAGTGACTGAAATTAGTGACTGATTTTTTTTATATTTAGTAATCGATTTAGTGACTAAAATTTCAGTCACTAAAAAAATAATTTTTAAACTGATAACTATTTTTCATTTATATAAATATTTTATTTAAAATATTTTAAATATAAATTTACTTAATGATTTAAAATAATTGATAACATTTTTAATAAAATTATAAATATTTAAAAAAATTGTTTACTAACTTATTAAATAATTTAGTAATATAATTATTTGATTTTATT